TTTAGGTATAAGAGAGTTAGAAATATAATTTAGGGATAAGGCGACATAGTCAGAATAAGTAGTATAAAATTATCAGGAGAGATTATTTGTTATGAGTTGATTTAATTTTCTTTTTTGTTTTATTTTTTATTATAATTATTATTAGTATTATTAGTTAATATTAGGAACAAATCCAGAATAAAATAAGGATCTTAACATAAGTTTACCGTTTATTTTGTCATAATAAAGGCAAACACATAAAAAATAAGAGAAATAAAAAAAATAATAAACCTCTGTGCAGAAACTGCTGCATAGAAGAAAGCGCACTAAATATAAGCTGAGCGAATACACGGTTCCAGAAGAGAAAGATAATCAAAAGGAAAAATTGATTAAGAAAGAGAAACTATATGAAACAACTTAAAAAAGAAGAGTGTACATTCACAGATCTGCAAAGCGGAGAAACGAAAGCTTCTGGAATAGTGTAGAAAGAGCGAGGTAGAAGCTTCTTGAAACCTCGGTGATCTAATTTAAAAAAATACATTTTAAGGTGTAACACAGGAGAGAACATAATAAAAAAAGCGCTAGAATAAGAAAGCCGAAAAAAATCTTTTTAAGAATCAAGCAATAAAAAAATAAGCACAAGGATTCCAGAAGGATCGAAACCTTGCTATAAGAGAGAGGGAAGCGGCTATATAAAAGCGCGGGTTGAACCAAAAGTGGTCGTCAGAAAACGAACGGTCGAGCGATAAAGTTTAAAGAAACTCGCGAAATCGCAGTAAAAATCGATCGCGGCGATAATTACTCAGGACTAACAAAATCGTATGCGCCGAGTAACAATCAGATAATATTTGTGAATTCATTAAGGTGTAAAATAAAAGTGTTGCCGAAATAAATGTAATAATTGAAAGAAGTTTGTGTAATAAAATAGTGTTGAAAAGTTAATAATCCATGTGAATTAATTAACAAAACATTGGAACCAAACTCCAAAAGAAAGCACCAACGGAAATTGCGAACGGCTCGACATTGGAAGCTGATTGGTGAAGCGGCTAGGGCGACTAGATTGCATCATAGGTGATTGGCGGTGCTGCTGTACTTGACAAAAGCATCCACAAATACAATCCCGGATTGGCGACAACCCCTGAGCAGCAGCCAAGCGGTGTGCGGGTATTTAGTTGAACGCAAACAAGGTAAAAGAAGGCAACCAATGAGAAGAAGGTAAGCAATTAAGCTCTAAACTTTCGAAATCAAACAAGAAGGGAAAGAAAAGGTCTCGAAAGATAAAATCCAGGTGACATAATCAGTATTGAAATAGCGATAGTGACAACCAGGATACAAAGAAACAACATCGAGTCCGTAAAACTTACGAAAAAGCTCTACGTGAGTATACGAATAAATTACTGCATGGAGTACAAACATTCTTGTCGGTAGTGTAGAGCAAACCGACTGGCAACCGTGAAAAAAAAATTTTAAATTAAAATAATCGATTAGGGACGTGATTTTGGTGAGTTCCGGTCACACCTATCCCCTATCCAGTGTATTATAGAGATCAGTGCTGCGACCGCACGCTGTGGCGCACGCGTGACAGTACGAGTATCTCCAGGCACGTCCGCGCTATGACGTCACCGTGACAGCACGTCGTGCCATCGCACTGCGTGCGGTCACAGCAGTGTTGTTGCGAAGTCGCGTTTTCGCGCATGCGCACTGCGCTGCTAGAAAATGCAGTAATGTACACAACGCGTCACTGAATCGCGGAATAGGCGCGGGGATCGGGGGGCAAGCGGGGCGGTTGCTCGTAGCGCCAACGAGCGCCGTGCGAACTAACTAGTAGCAATCGGTTGTCCACAACTACGTCGTGTCGATAATGTAACTGCTCTTCCTT